TTCTGGACAGTGAAGAATAGGAATGACAGAAGAATTACTGATGCCTTGGACTGTGGTATTGGAGAAGAGCACTGAACATCCCATGGATTATCAAAAGAACAAATGTGTCTTGGAGAAGGTGCAGCCAGAGTATTCTTTGGAGGCAAAAGAGATGAGGCTTTCCACTCATATTTCAGGCATGTTCCTGAAAAGGACTATTCCATGGATAGGAATATGATGCTAGGAAGGGGAGAGGGTTGGCTAAGGAGAGGAAACCCTCAACCAATTGGTTGACACGTTGACTGCCACAAAGAATGATAGTGTTTCAGGAAGTGTGGAGATGACACAGGATAGGACAGGATTGTTCAGAGGGTTGCTATGAGTCATACTCAACGTGGTGGCACCTAACAACACTAAAAGTAGAAGCATGAACAAGTTAGTTTTCCCAACCAACTGGGATGTTCCTTAGTAGTGAGGATGGTAATACTTTGGGTAACTTGTATCAAGCATGCATAGAAAAGATAACACTAGAAAAGAACATCATGTTTGGAAGAGAGTAGACAAAAACAAATCCTAACCACCTACCAATTTAAAAATCACTGTTACTGTGTACCGTAGAGCAAACATCAAGGTACTTGGATGCAATGACTCTGCCTTTTCAGTCTTCCCTGTTGCTTTTTCGAATTTCTGTGAATGACAATTACTACATTAATAACCTAGTGTATACTGAATATCCTTCCCTGCTGTTATTCTTTCTAATTCTGTTTAATCTACAGCCTTCACATTCTTCTATATGGAATTAGTTTTTATTAGTTTTAGTTTTTATTATGATCTTCAGACTAGCAATATGGAATCATTGGACTGTTTTGACTCTTCATCATACTTTAAAGGTACTTTGCACTAGCTTAACAGTTGATATTTTTTGTTGATGTGTGTACCTGCTGTTTTTGTTATATACTTACCAAATTTTCCTGAGTGTAGCCTAAGGGTTTGTTTGGCAGTATCAAATCTGTTTTGTAGTATTATTAAATTCTACTATATTGCCTTATAGTTTTAAATAGGCATACTTTACTGATTTGAATCCCTGATCTGCCTATTGCTAGCTCTATGACCCAAAAGTAAATTACATAATTTTTTAAAAACTTCTGTCTTTTCACTTTTAAATATTAATAATTATTCAGCCATCAATTTGGCTTTTTAATTATCCATGGCAGAGTATGTCACTTGGCACATTTCTTAGTACAAAGCCAGTGCATTGCTCTGTACATTTTTTGAAACTCAGTTTTTGTTATCATTGCTAACCTTTTTAAATATATTAAAAACTTTTTATCTAATCAACTTTTTAAAAAAAATAAGCTTTTGTTTTTCACTGAGGATTATATAACTGTTGTTTCATGTTCATATGCTTCAGTTGAGTGAATGAGAGATTTTTCCTAATTTTGATTAACAAAATTGGGCTCCTGAGTCCTTTAAAACTAGCAGTGCAGTATTTAGTATGCTGCTTGACATGTACTTGATCTATTTGCCACCAAAGAATAATTCAAAGGAAGAAGAAAATTTTGTTTAGTGGTAGCACTGAGTTAATTTTAAGTATTTATAGAAAGGCGATTTTCAGTATTTTCCTCATTTTCCGGGTGGGGGAGTAAAGACAAAATGCTAATTGGGATATATAGTAGTCTTCATTTATGGGTAATTATCTCCCTTCTAGAGACTAACTTTGAAAAAAGATTGTTGTTGTTGTTATGTGCCATCGAGTCGTTTCCGACCCATAGCGACCCTATGCACAACAGTTCTAAACCCTGCTCTATCCTGCGCCAACCGCACCGCCTCTGACACACCCATCCCGATTACCCCAGTCACCGAATCAATCCATCTCATAGAGGGTCTTCCCCTCCTGCGCTGTCCCTCCACCCTCCCAAGCATGATGTCCCTCTCCAAGGACCCATCCAGAGAACTGCCAGAAGTCCAGGCTGGATTTAGAAGGGGTCGTGGTACTAGGGATATCGTTGCTGATGTTAGATGGATCTTGGCTGAAAGCAGGGAATACCAGAAGAATGTCTATCTGTGTTTCATTGATTATGCAAAGGCATTTGACTGTGTGGATTATAACAAACTGTGGCTGACTCTGAGAAGAATGGGAATCCCAGAACATTTAATTGTGCTAATACGAAACCTACACTTGGACCAAGAGGCAGTAGTCAGAACAGAGCAGGGTAATACTGCATGGTTCAAAATAGGGAAGGGTGTACGCCAGGGATGCATCCTGTCTCCATACCTTTTCAACATGTATGCAGAGCAGATTATTCGAGAGGCTGGGCTCTATGAAGAGAATTGTGGCATCAGGATTGGTGGAAGATCTATTAACAATCTCCGTTATGCAGATGACACAACCTTGCTTGCTGAAACTGAGGAGGACCTCATGCACTTGCTGCGAAGGGTCAAGGACTGCAGCCTTCAGTATGGACTAAGGCTCAACGTCAAGAAGACAAAGATTTTCGCCACTGGACCAAATTGGCAGCGTCAGGATGGATGACGAAGAGATTGAGAGTGTTCACAGCTTCACTTTGCTCGGCTCCACAGTCAACACTCTTGGTACCAGCAGTCAGGAAATCAAAAAGTGTATCGCGATGGGAAAGTCTGCCGTTGGGGACCTCTCAAAGGTACTCAGGAGCAACAGTGTCTCTCTGGAGACTAAGGTGCGCCTGATATAGGTCATGGTATTTGCAATCACTTGTTATGCATCAGAGAGTTGGACAGTGACTAGGGAGGACAGAAGGAGAGTGGATGCTTTTGAGCTGTGGTGCTGGAGAAGGGTACTGAATGTACCATGGACTGCCAGGAAAACAAACAGATTCATCTTGGAGAGGATTAAACCAAGCTGCTCCTTGGAGGCAAGGATTCTGGGGCTTCGTCTGACTTTGAAAAAAGATTACTATCAATTAATTCATTGATTGCTCATCAAGTTTTTACTTCAATAAGAAAATGACATGAAATATTTTTTAATAATTCTAGTACTCTTTCTTGGCTCTTTCTTTAGCTTTAACTTTTGCTGCCTTAGAGATGTTGTGGAGTGTAATGTAAAAATAATAGTGCTTAGAATCAGAAGCTCTGATTTTTTTTTTAGTGTTTACTTTTTAACCCTTGTTAAGAGCTCTAACTCTGAAAAACTCTAATGGTGAAGTTGCTTAAGCATTGATCAAAAGATTAGCTGTTCACATCTACCAGTTCCTCCAAGGGAAAAAGTAATGAGACCATCACCTTAGTAAGAAATTCCAACCTCAGGAGCAATTCTGGTCTGTCCCATATGGTCATAGGAGTCAAAATCAGTTCATTAGAAGTTGATGACTCTGGTCAAGCAAGACAGTTTGGATTCCTGGACTTCTTATTAATGTGATAAGTGGGGTTATCTACTTTTCTCAGTCTCAGTTTTCTTCAACTTTGTTGTCAGCTGCTTTTGAATCAAATTCTTTGTAAATCCATGGATCGTAAAATTAAACTGTAATCCATAGGGCTTCTTACCTTTTTTTTTTTCACGAGTAGATTGCTAGTTCTTTCTTCCTAGTCTCTTTGCTCTGAAAGCTCCCTTATGTTTCCTCAAGGCAACAAACAAGTCTCTAATGACATATGAATAAATGGCTGTGCATAAAGTACATTAGCCAGCAAACACACATACATTCACCATATGAAAGGTATGATTTCTCCCACTGTGTCACCATTCAACTCTAAAATAGTATAGCTTTTTTATGGAGTTAGACACAGACTCAGTGGTAGATTGTTTCTGTATATTTTGTTATTTGTAGAGATAAATGTAGCAATAAATAAATTTGTAGTGCCTGAAATTGTAGTTAACCTGAAATAGTAATTTCTTCACTGATCTCTCTTCTCCTGCACTAGTCATTTTGACATTTGATTATTTTGTAGTAGTTTACTTCATGACATTTTTCAAACATTTTTATGTTTTAAGTGTTTTCATGTGTTTAAGTTTTGTGTCTTTTTTGGTTATTCTTTGTTTCTTCTTCCTCTTTGTAGAAGGTTGTTTGGTATTTTAGGGAAGAATCCTTGAAAAATATTATTTTTTCTATCTCTGCAGTGCTGTGCACATTGCAGGTGCTCATCAAGGACTTACTAATCAAATGTATTTACTCAATATCACTTTTTGTTCTTTATGTACTTTGAATAAATGCAACAGGAACCATTGACATAGAAACTAAAATGAAGAATACTGAGGTACTATATTACATTGTACAATGTAGGGAATACAGTCCACATGAGTGACACTTCCTGTAAAATTGTTTATAACATCCCTGAATGGGTGTGTGAAAAAGGAATTACTCCAGAAAGTTGAGCACCAAAGGTGGCTATATCAACCCTGAAATGATCCTGAACTTTCTGGCATCGAATACAAAAATAGATAACTAAAACATATATTCATTAAGCTTATAGTGGACACAGGAAGTGTTCTCTAGTGTTTTAAAATGTACCTGTAACTCATGATGTCCTTGCTTATTTTGAGACATGGTACATTACAATAATGTGATAATACTTAGTGAAGAAAAATACAGAATAGCAATGAAATCACTCATAAATTTTATAGGAAAACATGGTGATGAACAAGGATAGCAAGACCAAAAAAACCTCTCAAGATTCATAATATATAGCAAATTTCACATTTGTACATCTTCAATGCATATCTGAATCTTAAGGCGAAATATAAAACCTAATCTTGAACTGGACAAATTTGTGAGTAGTATAGAAAGAGTGTTATGATAAGCTCATAGTACATGTCACTGATAAGACTTTCACAGGAATTGCCTGCTTTATGCTGAGATACAGTTCTGCAGGATGGCATAAGGATTTCAAGATTTAGAAAGAGCTTGGATGCTAGAAAGGCACTATTTCCTGTTTTCTACCTAGATAAAGCATATAGTGTTAAATTTTGTAATAATTTTGTTCCAATGAAAATTGAATCTTAAGGATTATTTTTTTCATATTATTGTATTTCACTGTGGTGTATTGGAAAGTGATCTGGACTTTGAGTGAGAAGATGTGATTTGGACCATGGCACTTAATAACTCTGTAACCTCAGGCAAGTCATTTAATCTTCTCTGAGCCTCAGTTTTCCCCATTTTCAAAGTCAGGATCAGATTTTTCTCTTAAGTTAGCTAATGTGCATGAAGTTACTGCAAACTACAGTTGACCCTTGAACAATTCAGGAAATAGGGGTGCCACTCCCAACTTATGCAGTAAAACATCTGCTTAATCAGTTTTCATTGTGAAATACAACTTACTGGAGAGAAGAACTGCTCACTCAAGAGATGACTGGGGTCACACAACATTTGAAACAGGCATTCACAAACATGTGGGCTTAATGCAATAGCAACAGGAAGAAAATCCAAGAATAAATGGATCCAAGCAGTTTAAACCCATGTTGTTCAAAGATCAACTGATTGTTTTGCAAATGTAAGAAAACTCCTTTAACTATTGGAATCAATTGTGTATTCCTGTATTATGTTACTGTGTTTAGTTGATACAGGGACAAAGATTTAGGTATTTTCAACAATAGACTTTGATGTATAGATTTGACAGAAAACATATTTTAAAAAGTAACCATGTTCATTGTTTAGTTTTCTGCTGCTACTGTAATAGAAATACCACAAGTAAGTGACTTTAACAAAATTTATTTTCTCACATTTTAGAACATTAGAAATCCAAATTGAGGATATTAGCTCCAGACACCAGCTTTCTTTCTTCTCTCATCTCTGGAAGAGGCCCTTGTCTCTCTCCAACTTCTGTACCTCGGTTCCTTGTGATCTTCATGTGGCATGGCACCTATCTTCCCTCATCTCCGCTAGCTTCTCTGTGCCTAATCTATTCATTTCATGGTTTTAAAGTGATTTGGCTTACTACTCATCCTTTATTATGGCCTATAATATCATTTTGTTATTTCTCTCTTTTTACTATTTTCAGAAATAAAAGAAGCAATTAATAGTCAACAGAAGATATGCATTTAATTTTACCTAGGAATATATAAAATTATTTTTTCCTCTAACACAGTATGAAAACAGTAACAGCCAAGATTAATAGAAGAAAATACAGATCTTTAGAAACATTGAACTTGTTGAAAATCATATTTGTGATATATATGAACACAGTTCAGAAACAGAGAAACAGTTTCTGTATATAAAGTCAAAGAGAGCTTTAGTGGCATAATCCACAGGGATTATGATTTAAACCAAAGGCTAAACCACTGCTAAACCAAACACCACACCGCCTAGTACTATGAATCCACCAGTGGTCAGAGGGAGAAAGATGGATAGTCTCTTCATGTGTGACATAGCAATAAGAGGAAGATAGATAGATAGATAGGTAGGTAGGTAGGTAGGTAGGTAGGTAGTCCAAGTAATTTTTGTAGAAAATTAAAACTCTAGTTGATTCCAAATCATAACTTCTGATGACCAGAGCATGCAGAGTCTCAGCAGATATGCCCATCAAAGGTAGTCCTAGAAGATTGTTTCCTTTGTGGACTAAAGCTTTCTCACTGGCAGAAACTTGATACCTTTCAGCAGCTCACTGAAAAGGGGGAAGGATTGGGAGCCTTGTTCTTTATCTTCTTTATCACTTGTAGTCTTTATTTCTTCTTTTCTCTGTACTAACCTGTCCCAAGTGCTACTTTTATTGTGTCTCTACTTCCTCCCTACCCTGACTTATTATTCATGTCTATTTCCATTCCCAGTTGTGAATAATCTGGGCATCTAGAAGTTGCTACATGTTCCTTTCTGTGCAGAACTGCCTTCAACTCAACTTGTAGTTAGGCTTGACTGGTATTAATCTTTATAATTTAAGCGGTGGAAAGCTTTTCATTCTCAAATATCTCTTTCTCTACTGCTAACTATTATTTGAGATGTGGAAACACTTTTTAGCTAATAATCTTTTATGAAAAAGTCCTATTGATACAGTGTTAAGTGCGTAGTTGCCAGTAGGAAGATCAGCAGTTTGAACCTACCAACCGCTCCAAGGGAGAAGAATATTGTCATCTACTTCTGTGAAGATTGTTGTTAGATGCCTTTGAGTCGACTGTGACTCATAGTGACTCTATGAACAACAAATCTGAACCTTAACCCTGTCCTACACCATCCTCATGACCCATTGTTGCAGTCACTGTGTCACTCCATTGTTCTGCGGATCTTCCTCCCTTTCTTATCAGGCTTTCCAAGTATGATGTCCTTTTCAAAGGTCTGGCCCCTCCATTTTTGCCTCTAAGGAGCACCAACCTTGCATTTCCTCCAAGACCAGACTTACTAGGACTTTGGCATTCAGTACTCCACAACACCACTACAATTCAAAGGCATCAGTCCTTTTTCTGTGATCCTTACACAGTGTCCAACTTTCAGAGACATTGAAAGCAAATGAAAATACAAAGATTACAGCCTTGAAAATCTACATAGTAGAGTGTATGTTAGTCAGAATCAAGTAAACAGCAAAAACTACAGTAATCATCCTTTCAAAAGAAGAGAGGCCAGGGGCATTTGACTAAAGAAGTCTGGCCAGCAGTCCTATTATGCTTTTCTTCAGAACACTTACAGAGAAAAATTTTGAAATCCTACCAGTGAATCACTGATCACAAGACCAGTATAGCAGAAGTGAACGTCCAGCCATTCATGCCGAGTGAAGACATAAGGCCTACCTTGCCCGTTGGCACTGTTTTTGGATATAACTATAAAATATGAGGCTTCCTCTCAACAACATAGGTTGTTTGCTTGAGACAGGGGACCATTATTTAATCATGGGGCCTTTCTGGTTCCTTTCATACCTTTTAGAATGGGAAATAAGAACACTACAACACGGTACTGTACAGCTAAAGATATCAGTGAATTTCAACAACTCTTCATTCATTCATTCGTTCATTCCAGAAGCGCTATGTACATTCTGATTTTTTTCAGACACATCATTTACATATAGAACAATTAATTTGTGATGAGGAAAAATTAACAAACCACACACCCTCGAAAATTAAAGCACTGTTTAATGCCTGTTTAGAATATTTTACAGGCGCAAATATGCTTTATATAGTTCTCCACTGAACAAATCCAGAAGTTTCTTCTCATTTTCAACCCTTTTGACCTTTCTAGTGTTAACTCAGACCATTTTTGGAATGTTACATATAGATTTTTGTAATATAACACTTTAAAAATGAGAAATTTGGTGGCATAGAGTGAGTACTGTAATTTTAAATTAAGTGGGAAAAGCTGTATGTACTCTCTCATAACTCAATAGTTGACACACCCCCTCCAGTGAGTAAATAGATATGTACACATACACACACACACACATACATATATATACATACTTTGCAAGAGATCTGATGGCTTACCCATAAGGGCTTGTGCTGCCAACCCAAAGGAACACTGAATGCACCAGCCACTCCCTGGGAAAAGAATGATTAGTCTCCTTCCATGTGATCTGCTGTCTGAAAACACACTGAGTGGTCAGTGGTGAGTCACTTCCGTCACCATGTTATATAACAAATGCCTTCCTTTTTCCTTTTAGACTACTACTGAGCTTCTAAATGTACCTTTCCCGTGTTGTTACTGTTGTTATGTGCCATCGAGTTGCCTGCGGCTCGTAGTGCCCCTATGTACAACAGCCCTAAACTCTGCTCTATCATGTGCCAATCTCACTGTCTCCAACACACCTACCCCGATTACCTCAGTCACTGAATCAATCCACCTCATAGAGGGTCTTCCTCTCCTGCACTGTCCCTCCACCCTCCCAGACATGACATCCTTTTCCAAGTTCTGGTCCCTACTTGCATCATGGCCAGAGTATGTCAGACAAAGCTTCAGAATCCTTGCCTCCAAGGAGCAGCCTGGTTTAACCCTCTCCAGTACAAACATGTTCGTTTTCTTAGTTGTCCATGGCATATTCAGTTCTCTTCATCAACACCACTGCTCAAAGGCATCAATTCTCCTTCTGTCTTCCCTAGTTATTGTCCAGCTCTCTGACGCATAGCAAGTGATTGCAAAGACCGTGGCCTGTATCAGACACACCTTAGTCTCCAGAGTGACACCATTGCTCTTCAGTACTTTGGAGAGGTCCCTAACAGCAGACTTACCCATCACAGTACATCTTTTAATTTCTTGGCTGCTGGTGCCAAGAGTGTTGACTGCAGAGCCAGGCAAACTAAAGCTGTTAACAGTCTCAATCTCTTCACCATCCATCCTGATGCTGCCAGTTGGCCCAGTGGTGAGAATTTTTGTTTTCTTGATATGAGCCTCCATCCATAGTTAAGGCTGCGGTCCTTGACCTTCTGCAGCAAGTGCTTCAGATCCTCCTCAATTTCAGCAAACGGGTTATGTCATCTGCATGACATAGATTGTTGATGAATCTTCCTCCAATTTTGATGGCACACTTTTCCTCATACAGCCCAGCCTCCCAAATAATCTGTTCTGCATATAGGTTTGAAAGGTATGAATATAGGACACATCGCTGGCATACATCCTTCCCAATTTTGAACCATGCAGTATTTCCTTGCTCCATTCTGACGACTGTCTCATGGTCCAAGTATAGGTTTCGCATTAGCATGATCAAGTGGTCTGAGATTCCCATTCTTCTTGAGTCAGCCATAGTTTGTTGTGATCCACACAGTCAAATGCCTTTGCATAATTAATGAAACACAGATAGATATTCCTCTGGTACTCCCTGCTTTCAGCCAAGATCCATCTAACATTAGCTACAGTGTACCTAGTACCTTTCTTGTAAGGTTTAAAATGATACCTAATCAGAGTATCACATAACCACCTAATTTGAACATGTCCAAACCTACCTTATGTCTTCTTACAAACCTGTTTTTCCTCCTTGCATTTTACCTGTGACAACATTGTTCTCACAGTTATACAAAGGTATAATATAAAACTACCTTTGCATTCAATCCTCATTCTCAGTCTGTTAACTGTCTAGGCTTTTTTTTTTTTTAAGTCCCTTATCACTTTTGATTTCAGCTGTTATTATCCTAGTTTATGGACTTAATATCTTTTTCAGATTATTACTTATCCCTATAGATAACAATCATAATTCTGCATAATTGATCTCTTATTCTAGTAGTAGTTAGTACCTTTGAGTCAACTACGACTCATGTTGTTAAGTGCCGTCGAGTCGCAGGCGACTCATAGCGACCCTATGAAGGAGAGTCCTCTACGCTTGGGTGTCTTTCATCCTCTCTCCAGGATCATAGTGTTTCCAGAGGCAAGCTATTATGGAAGTGGATGCCACTCCTCCTTCCAAGCTTGTTTTAATCACGGAGCTCCACCCCACTCTCTGTCCACATTGGGTAACGCATTTTAACACATGAGTGTCCCAGTGTTCAGCCTCACAGCAACTACAAGTTACCACTGTATGGCAACTTGTACACCAGGGCTCTACAACCTAGAGGAATGTCTGAACAAAAACAATGAAAGACAGGCCCGAGAGCCGCGGATTAAAAAAGTCACCCACCCTCAGCTTGGTAGCATCGCCCTCTGTCCACTGGGCCAGCTGATCTCTCTCTCTATGTTGATGTTCTTGTTGTTAAGTGCCGTGAAGTTGCAGGCGACTCATAGCGACCCTATGAAAGAGAGTCATCATCGCTTGGGTGTCTCTCATCCTCTCTCCAGGTTCATAGGGTTTCACTACGACTCATAGTGAACAATATATTTGAACTTTGTTCAATTCTGTGCCATCCTCACAATCTTGGATTTACTAGAGCCTACGAACAATTGTTACCTTCAGTGGCTTAATGAACAAGGAGTTGCACTGCCTACTCACAGACACACGATTTGAATCCAATAGCTTCCACAGGAGAATGATGGACAGTCAGTCTCCTCCTGTGTGTCTTAGAGCCTCTGAAAAGCCACTAGAAGGTCAGTTCTGAGTCCACAGCAATGATTGATTGTTACTAAGTAATTTCCTCTTATTGAATATTTTCCTTTCTTTCTTTGACCCTCCAACTTTCCCAGCATGATGTCTTTTCCTAAGGACTGAATGCAGAAATCATAATTCTAAAAACTGATCCCTTGTTCTAGACTAATACCAAAGTTACTGTGCCAGAGGAATTCCAAAATTGTAATTCTAAAATACATGTCATTCCTTCATCAGAATCCAATAATGGCTAATAAGAAGTAGATAAAAATCACTATGTGTTCCTTTTACTCACTGCTGTCTAGTCGCTTCCAACTAATAGCAACTATAGGACAAAGTAGAAATACCTATACAATTTTTCAAATAAATGAGAGCAGACTGCTTTATCTTTCTCTTGTGGAACTTTTGATGAATTCAAGCAATCAACCTTTTGGTTAGCAGACCAAAACATAAGTGTTCCTTCTAGAAGACATAAATAAACAAAATGGAAAAAATAAAATGACTTCAAATTTTTACATCCAGGTTATCAAATGTCAGCATTTTGACTTATATGTATTTTTAACTGAAAAGATGATACCATATTTCTTGAGCTTTTATCTTTTTCTATCATACACCATGAACATATTTCAATGCCAGTAACTTCTGTGCTGTAATTTTACTAGGTGTATAATAATTTCCATTGTACGAATCACCTTTTAAAAATCCTTTTACATTTGGGACCCCTGTGCCTCTCCCATTTCTTCTCATAGAATAGACCAGCTGAATAGTGCCTACCAACAGGCAAGATGTAGCCTGTTCCTCGCATGCTTTTATTTAGTTTAGAAACTAAGGATGCTTAAAAATTTTAGATCATTTTGGTCAGGGAGATAGTCATACTCTTTGAAATTCAAACATCAGTGCCTATCACCCATATACTTGGAGCAGTAATCCAATTACATTGATTTGAAAGGAACAGTTAGTTATTTCTCATAGACTAGAGGAAAGTAGAATTGCTAAGCATATTTTTTATGGTGAACTGTCATCAGTGATTCACCACCCCGACACTTACTGTCAGTCTATATATTGCTCCTGTATATTGAGTTAAAACTATAAGCATATTCACTTCAGAATAAGCCAATCACACTGTTGTTCGGTGCCATTGAGTTGATTGTAACTCATAGCAACTCTGTGAACGTTAGACCTGAACTGTGCCCTCATTCAGTGTTTAGTGCTTGTGCAGGCTACTGCTGACTACAGGGAGAGTCGTGACAGAGGCTGGTGAGGAGAATCCAGTGAAAGGATGATTAAAGCCTCCAAAGTAACTTCTTACTTTCCCAAGAAATGGATTGTAACACTGCAAAATATACCCAAATAAATAAAAAGAATTTATTTAGTATATAATATTCTGGACAATTTTGAAGTTTGGTACAAAAGCATTTTATACATTAGGAAAGATAACATCCAAGCACTATTTGAAACATACATCTAAAAGTGTCATTAGTTATACTGTTAGATTATGCATCAGAATTATTAGATTATCAAGTAATTGTGAAAGAGGAAAAAAAATTGTCATATGCTGAGAGATGCAAGTGAAGAACTAATCTTTTGATTATACCAATATAAAACATTCGTATTTCAATGTACTTTGAATATTTATTACTTACATAATGAAAATAAAAATCAGGTGTGAAAATGAATGAATGATTGCCTTGAGAATAACGTTTTATACTTTTCTGGAAAACATTTTAACGTTTTTGTGCTGTCACTCTTTCCATTGTTTTGAAAAAAACACCAAGAAGTTTTATAACATTTTTTGTATTGATATTTTAACAAAAGTTTACAGGTAACTTGGATTTTCATTCATTCATTGTTGCACATTTTATAACATTTCTTAATGAAAACAGTCAGTTTAAAAATAAAAGAATAGGAAGTACTCTTTTTTTTTAGGCCTATATTGTAAGACAAAGTAGTAAATGCAACATTAAATATGTATGTCATTTATAAGAGATGAGCTGGTGATTATAATTTTCAGTAATGATTACTAATTATGGCAGTTTGGAATACTCTAGGATGAATAAATAACATGGGAACTCACGGCTCTTGCCATTTTTTATATTAAAGTATTCACAAAGATGCTTTTTTTCCTCTCCAAAGTTTTCATTTTTCTTATTTTTATTGTCATTTACAATATAACATGGTCAAGTTTTCTTTAGTCTTTAACCTGTATTCCTCAGTTAAATTTATTTTTAGGGCAAGCTTACACTTGAGAATAGAAAATGCCAAAGAATTTACCAACAAGAGACATTTCTATCTGCTTTACCATCAGTTTTGTTAAGGATTATGTGGCTTGACTGTCAAAAAAGAGCTTAATATTCTGGCAGCATTGACTGCTCATATTTTTTTTTTCTTTTTTCTGTGAAGACAAGTACTTTTTGCAGTTCTTCAGTCACACTTTTTTATCTTTCAGATTAAAGGGGTGTTTGATTGTGTTTAGGTATCAACCACAGTTTTAATATTTTACTTTTTTAGAAACACGCATAATTATTCTGATCTATATTGCATAATTTTACTTTCATTTTAATATTTGGTCTGTAATATATATTTTAAAATAACGTTCATGTTTTTTAATAAAATACATTTTAAAAAACAATAGAGAAATTAAAAATAGCACTTAAAATTACATGCATTTCAAAATAAACTGTAGCAATTAAAAGGTAAAAATATTTTAAGACATTACTTTTGAAAAGAAAACCCTATTTTTATTTAAATGCATTGAACTTTGAAGTTAAGAGAGAGAAATTGAATAATTGAGCAAGTGTACGTGGTACCACCAAACTCCTAACATGTTAACACTGGAAATAACTTTGGAGATCATCTAAAACAAACTTTAATTTTGTTAATGAGGAAACCGAGGTTCAGAAAGACATATATACCTAATTTAAGCATCAGAATATTAAGCTTACTGGTTTGAACATATTTTATCTACATGAATTTTAAACTTTTTTTTAAGCTATTTATTTTTGTTTTGGTATAATAATAGACTGGGCTTGTTTCTATTTGTCCTACAAAGTTATCTTGTCAAGACTTGGAGAAAGCATGCCACAAATTAGCAGAAATAACAACTATCAAACAAAAAATCAGTAGATGTTCTTTACCAACTGAAATAAATGTATTTCCATAAAATTACAAAGTTGAAAACATCATGATTAGCTTTTTAAAATTCTTTTTATGTACAGATATTTGTGATATTTTATCATAATTTGAAAATGGTAACAATTTTATAATAAATAAAAGTATTAATTAATTCATAAATTAATGGAAATACAAATGGAATTAATTAACGAGGAGCAAAGTATTTATTTTTATTACTTTATGCATAGAAATTAACTCATTGGTAATTTTTTTATCCCCTTAGAGCAATTTAATGATGCACTTTTAAATAAATTTCGGCCACCCATTATTTCCTCTAATTTGGCATTTTAACTATTGTTCTAGCCACAGCTGAGAGGCTTCCGTGGAAATACGGTATTTTATGTAAACTAAAAAGCCACAGGTCCAAATTTTTGTAGTGTTTTTGCTCTACTCTTACCTTAGTCTCACCATTTACCATATGTCCTTTTAGGAACTTGTGCAGAGAAATTGTCCTGCTATAAAAATGATAATATATTGATTGACTTTAATGTAAATATATTTTATGTTGTGTTTACACATCGTGTTTTAGAATGGAGTGAAAAGCGTGTGTGAGTGCTTGTGTGTGTATGCCTTGTTTTCAGCTTGTAATACTTTTCTTTCTTTTTCAGCTTTTTAATAAAATGAAACCAAGTGGAGTGTGCATAAGCTGAATGTTTACCATGAAGATAACTGTTCCTGACATTATTACCATTTTAAATTCTCAAATTCATTTTCTTTGTTGATTGTGATAAGCTACTTGATTCTTGTATATTTTTTTAAATGTGGATTTTGCTAGTAAATTTAATTTATAAAAATGGATGGTAAAATTTCATAATCTGCAGAGAATGAATAGAATGTTTTTAAAGTTTATTATATTCAGTGTATGCCATATGTCACAGGATTGAATAAATTATGATGTAATTATGAATTCATGCTTTACAACTGTTCACTCATTAGGAAGGAAAACACAATGTTAGTAGTACAGGAAACTGATAAAATGTATGTTAAAGAATTCTTAGGATTGCACAAGAATTGGGCATATGCATGAAACTATGTCAGGTTCTGAAAGTTATACTTATTGAAGTTTCAGTTATAAAGGATGATGTGTGTTGAAACAAACAGTGTTCTGTTGTTATTAACCGTAACCACATAAAGGTGTATGGGTCAGCAGATGAGTAATACCTACCACTTGGGATATCACACTTGAGTATAAGGGCTTGTTCAGGACTACAAGGCTAAAATAAGCATGGACTAAGCTTACAAAAGTCTTCCTGTTTGTGTTATATAGCGTATATAACCACATTCCCTGAGTCCAGATAAAATAAGCTATCCTGGGCTGAGGGCTCCATCAAATTGTCTCAAAAAACAAATATACAAATCAAACCATTATTCTGTTTTCTATTCGGCTTTTAGTTTATAAGGTACTTTCACATAAGTTGTTTTTATTCCTCCTAACACACAGTTAGTTATACAGGAAATGCAAAGTTCCAGGGAGGGAGTCTTTCTTTTACTTTTGAAAGAGGAACGAACTAGGGGGCGGGGAGAGAGGGCTGGGTGGGTAGAGAAGTGTAGCAATGAATGAATGGAAATCCAAATTCTCTGTAAATATTCATTAAAATTATTTTTTTTTAAAAAGAAATAAAGGGAATTCTAAAAGTGATAAGTCAACTCATATCCAACTCATAACCAAGTTTTCAAAGAGTCTAATCTTAATTAATAGGTCGGTGATGCTACACAGACTGGCAGTTTGAACCCACCAACCACTTCATAGGAGAAGGATGTGACGATCTCCATCTATTGTTATTGACAGCCTTGAAACCCCATAGAACTATTCTGCTCTGCCCTGTTTGGTCACCAACTCAAAATCAACACACAGGCAGGGAACTCAGTTTTGGGAGGTTTATGTGTGGCACTCAGCAAGCATTTAGTCAGTTTAATACATTTTGAAAGTTTTTTTTTCTGTCTCACTTGTCTAGTTTTCAATAAGTTCTGAATGGTAGAGATGAGGAACTTTCTCATTAGGAGTTCCAACATACTGATTCTCTTGTGTTTGCAAAAAAGATAAATACTTTTAACATTAAAATGACGTTTACAGAAAAGCAGTTTGTTTGGTGCCTAGCCCTAGCTAGCCCTTGGCATGTAAATCTTAATCCATTGAGTATTTTTACATTGATAGTGACAAAACTCATCCACTGTCTCTACAATACTTAGTATTTAGTCATTGCCATAGTCAAGTAGTTCAGCAGTACTGTATTTCAGGTCAAAAGTAATTCTCTAGCCCAAACTGCCATATTTTTATCCACACAGTATTATTTCCTAGGGATTTTTCTACCTGTACCTTCTCCTCTTGAAGTATTTTTGTATATACATGTACCGTGCTAATTTGTTGCTACTGTTAAAAAAATGAATGTTTATGGGAATATTTCATTTTGACATGGTTGGCAAAAACAGTCATGCGCATTATTTATGTATAGGTATAATAGTAAAATTTTTTAAGCACTTAATACAAATAATTTCCTCTGATAACTAAGAAAATTCCAGGTATTTTTTTCAAAATCTCATACTAAAATCCATGGCTTTTCTGTAGGAAATTGCTGCACTTAGGGAAGAAATAAATTCCCTTCAGATAAGTCATTATTGGAAAGTGCTGTAGGCAAAAAGCTAAACCATAAGTCAAATGCAAGTTGCATTTAACTCTGTCATTACCTTGAGTCAGAACAAATCTATGACATTTTCAACCAGACTTATTTTAGAGACATTAAAAAAGGAATTACATTTCTATTCTGTTGTAGAGGAATGTCTTAATATAAAATTTCCCAATTGTATAAAACTACCCAAAGTTGTTATGTTTTCTAATAATATTTGATAAATGACTTTTTGCATTTTATTTACATGCTTTTTCTTATATTATTCACATGAGTAAGCCTAACTGTTTTGTATGCTTACTGTAATTTTCTTTTATACATGAAGTAATATTCTTTGTTGTTATTTTTTTACCTGTTTTTTGCCATTGAGTCAGAACTGGACCCATAGTTGACCCTCCAGTGGGTTTTCAGAGACAGTTAATCACATGGGAGGAGATTGTCCATCATTCACCCATGGAGCATCTGGTGGCTTCGAACTGTGTGTCTTTGGGATTGCAGTGCAGCTTCTTGCCACTAGGCCACCAGAGCTCCCTAATATCCTTTGTCAATTACAATTTAGTAGGCAACAAAATTTAGGGAGATTAGATCTTTTAACCACATGGCTTGACAGCTATTCCCTTTCTTCTTAGGACCTTCCTCAGGGTACATGAAGAGAGTGATTATGCTAAATCATCAAATATTTTCAGGAAAATGACATTAGATATTCTAAGAAGAATTTATTATAAGGGCAAATAGATTAAGAGTATTTACGGAAATAGCCAAAATTCGAATGGGCTCTTATTTCAAGAGTTGATAACATTTGACATGTCAAGTCGTCAAAAGGCATGAAAAGAAAGGGGGCTGGGGGGACTGTCCTTAAGCACAAACAGGCAGTGGACTTTCTAGGTAAAGTCTATAAGATGGCTTTTAATGTGTGTAAAAAGCTAAGGAAAGCCAAAGATGGCAAACTAAATAAAAAATAAAGTTCACATAAAATACGGAATGTCAATAAAGAAACCACATGAAAATTTGGTAACTGAGAAGAATACTCACATGTGCAGGTCAAAGTATTTGATTAGGCAGATAAAGAATCAGTTATGTTAATCAAGAATAATTACAGATAGATCAATTGAGTATTTTTAAGAACTTAAAAAGTAATAGAACCAAAGGACCTGAGATTATTGTCAGTAATGCCGTAAATACAGTGGAATCTGAGAAAGAGAAGTGAAAGAAAGGGGCAAAATATTTTTTTGGGGGGAGGAATCAAAATTTCCAAGTGTGATGAAAGAATTGAGCTTTTATATTGGTTTGTATGCAAAATAAATATACCATTTCCTTCATATACATTGTATTTCACACACTCATTCATATTGTGCTAATTCATTAAGATGAACAGTCTCTTATGCGATTTACTGCCCCTGAAAACCTGCTGGAGGGTCAGCGATTGGTCATTTCTGACTAGTGACATTAACAAAAGTTTAATGGAGAAATAGTTCAACAATAATAGTTTGAGACTTTCATATTCCACTTTCAATAAAAATAGACCACTAGACAAAAATACAGAAAGAGAAAGAGAGTGTGTGTGTGTGTGTGTGTGTGTGTAAGGAAGAACTAGGAAGTATCGGTGCCTCTGAATTACATTGTTAGTGAAGTACAGCCAGGGTGCTCTTAGAGCCAAAGATAAACTCAGTCTGCCATACTTGGGGAATGATGTCAGGAGGGGCAAGTACTTGGGAAAAGACATCATGCTGGGAAAAAGGTCAGTGAAAGGAAGACCCTCCCTCAACAAGATGGGTCAACGCTGACTCCAGTAATGGATGTTAGCATGGCTGAGATTCTTACGATGTTACAGGATAGGACAAGGTTTTTATCTGTTTTCATAGAGTCCCTGAGTCATAATCAACTCTATAGTACCTGTCAACAGCAGCATGTATGTGTATGTCTTGGTGCGTATATAGTCCCGAACGGGAGAATACATACTTTCCTTAAAGTAAGTCACATATTCTCCAGGTAAGACCATACTTGAGACTTAGAACTTAACCTCATAAATCTGAAAAGATTGAAGTCATGTAAAAAGGTCATCCTAGATCACATCTGAATACAACTGGAAGTCAAGGTATGGAAAGCTCATTAATTAAAGAGTACATAATATACCAATGGGTCAAAGAATAGCAGGTCTAATGGAAATTAAAAAGTGCACGATTGAAAATGCAAATACAGCATATCAAAACTTATGGGTTGAACTGAAAGCAATGCTCTGAATGAACTTATAGCTGTAAAAACCTGTGGGGTTGGTTTTTGGTTTTTGGGGTTTTTTTTCCCCCAAGCATCTTAATGACATACGTTTAAACCTTAAAGAACAAGATTTAACAGAAGGAAGCAAACTAGAGAATACAAAAAATGGATACTTTTAAGTATCAAAATTGATAAATCTTTAGTAAGAATAAGACAAATTCTTGAAATATAAATGCAGACATTATTACTGAAATAAAAACGCAAGGACTACAAGAGATTCTATGAGAAATGTATCGACAAATTAGCCAACATATTATGGACAAAATTCCAAAAACCAGAAAATTAGAAAACTGATCAAATCTATAAAAAGAAAGATAGTAAAAAAAGAACCATTTTGACAAAATGACTAGAACAAATGGTTTCAGTGGTGATTTCTACCAAATTAAAAAAAAATGAGCAGCAATCCTTTTAAAACTTAAAAATGAAGAAAAAAGGGGAGCTCTGGTGGCCTAGTGGCAAGAAGCTGCACTGCAATCCCAGAGGAGCACGGTTCGAATCCACCAGATGCTCTGCCGGGAAAGGAGGGACAATCTCCTGTACCAGTCAGATCTGATTTGACGGTACACGCACACACACAAATAATAAAATTAAAAAAATGAAGAAAAAGAGAAATATGTCCTATCTCATAGTTTAGGATATTAGAAGAAAAGGAAATAAACCAGTATACATTTTTATTATGAACATTTCACCTGCACCCAGCATCTCAAGATTGCAAGATAATGTACACTTACATTCACAGCAATATTATTTACACTAGCAAGCAGATGAAAACGGCCCAAATGCCCATCAACAAAAAGTGGATTAAAATATTAGAGTACATTCACATAATGGAATACTATGCAGCACCAAGGAGCGATGATTTAGTAAAATACTGTGTAACATGGGGGAGGCTGAAGAGCATTATACAGAATGAATTCAATTTCATTAGTACAAGTACTGTATATAAAGTCATTAATGTAAAAATGTAAGATGTATATAAATGTCCAAAAGCAAAACGGGTGAAGGCAGAGGGAATGAAATGTGGAAAGGGGGGAAATAACAAGGATAAAGGAGGGTTATGAAGGAATTAGAGTTCCAATGTTATTATGTGCCATCGAGTCACTTGCGACTCATAGTGACCCCACGTACAAAAGTTCTAAACGCCGTTCTATCCTGTGCCAACCTAGCCATCTCAAACACACTTACTCCCACCACTCCAGTCACAGAATCAGTCCATTTCATTGAAGGTCTTCCTCTCCTGCGCCGTCCCTCCACTCCTCCAAACATGACGTCCC